ATAATTTAATGTTGAAAGATTGATAATTATTATATTTTTTATTTCTCATCTTTTTGTGTAAAAATATCGATGCATTAAACAAAAAAAAAAGTTTAAGATCAAATTACTTTGATCTTGAACTTTGAATTGATTTAAAGAACTTTGAGCTTAAATTACACTTATTTACGGGATAAAGTATAGTTTTATGAGTCAAAATCAAACTTTAGCGGATTAAACTAACAATGCTAATGGAAACAAACTATAAACACAAAGGAAAAGATAAGAAAAATATTAATTCACAAAGACAAAAATGCAGAATTATCTAAAAACTTTAAGTTTCATTTAGGAAGTGTTTTTAAGTGACTAAAAGCAATTTTTAAGAAAATATTTTGAAACCAATTTTTGGTAAAAATGCAAAATAATTAAAAAAAACACTTGAAGTTACTGGTATTTTTTGTAGGAGTCACTTCTAATACTTTTGAAATTTAAAAATATTTTAACTAAAAGTGCTTTCAGCTATTTAAAAGTACTTCTGTATTAGTCTAAGTCCCGAAATTATAATTTACAGTTGACGGAAGTGAAAATTTGCGAGAATTACCGTCACCGCTAGTGCAGGTTAACCTATTTTTTAGGCTAAATAAAAAGAGCGTGCACAAAATACTGAAACGACACCGTAGCTGGTGAACTCCGAGCTCCGACTCCAGATACTTGCAGAGTAGAGGTTTTGGGTTTTGGTCAGGCAAATTGCGAAGTAGCAGAACAGAGAAACAAGGAGAGAGAGCGAGAGATGGTGAGGCTGACTGCCGACTTGGTGTGGAAGAGCCCTCACTTCTTCAATGCGCTCAAGGAGCGAGAGTTGGATCTCCGAGGTAATTTCCTTTCCCAATTCTCAATTCCCAAATTCCGATTCGAAACCCTACATTGACGCCGTTAGGGTTTTGATAATTGAAATTGTTTGCCCCCTTTTCGTTATCAGGAAATAAGATTGCTGTAATCGAAAACTTGGGAGCTACAGAGGTCAGTAGTTTACTTAACTCAGACTATTATCTTGACAAGCCTTCGTTTTTGGCTTTAATCTGCTGCAAATCACTGAATTTAGTTGAATGAAATATGTTTTTTCGGGTTAATTTGGACAGGACCAATTTGACACCATTGATTTGTCTGACAATGAAATCGTCAAGCTCGAAAACATGCCCTATCTTAATCGTTTAGGTACTTTGATTATCAATAACAACCGAATCACCCGTATCAATCCCAACATTGGAGGTAACTAACTTTAATCCTTCGGTCTCTTTAATCACTTACTAGTCTGTTATCTTGTATCTACCGAGTACTGAGTTGAATGTAATTGCAGAGTTTTTGCCGAAGTTGCACACGTTGGTACTTACCAACAACAGGCTAGTCAACCTGGTAGAGATCGATCCTCTTGCATCCCTCCCAAAGTTGCAGTATCTTAGCCTTTTGGATAACAACATCACGAAGAAACCCAACTATAGGCTGTACTTGATTCATAAGTTAAAATCACTTCGGGTTCTGGATTTTAAGAAGGTGAAAAACAAGGTGAGTCAATTTTAAGTTGACAACTCATTTTTGTCGTTGTGGTGTGGGTGCTACTTTTATATGGTACCAGTTATGAGTTGGTCTTAGAGTGCCTAGGAATAACAAACTAATGGAACACTACTACTTTGTATTAGAATGTCATGAGTTGCATAGCAGAGCAACATACTAACATGACAGAAGCACAAATCTTGTGAGCAAAACTGGCTTGGTTGTACTCTACTTAGCTAGGGTCTAATGTGACATATATGTTGTATTATAATTGCGACACTTTTTTCTCCGGGGGATTTTGGATTTTAACACATAGGCTACTGAAAATTAGTTACACAATATTATTTTGGTTTTATAGCTTTAAAAAGCTTTGTTTTGTCCAAATTCTTCATTTTTACTTGTATCAAAGGCTTCTGCTTATTTCTTTCTAGTTTCACCCAAAAAGTGGAAATATGAAATAGAATGCTATTTTTCATAAAAGATTAGCTTGTTCCTTTTTACCTATCACCTCACCTGGATTAATTATTCTTTGGTCTTCTTCGATCAATCATAGGAGAGACTGGAAGCACAAACTTTGTTTTCATCTAAAGAGGTTGAAGAAGAGACTAGAAAGGTATCCCCCCAAAAATTTGTGCCTGCAGAAGTTCCAGAAGTTTCCCAGGAACAACAGGCTCCAAAAGTTGTTGCCCCCACTCCTGAACAAATTATGAAAATCAAGGTAATCATAGCTATCAAGTTTTTACATAGTTGCATCAATCATTATATTCTGTGACCATGTGCATGGAAAAACCACATCTTTCTCACCTTTGAGCTGTTAAAACGAATGTAAATATTATTGAAATGTACCCTGGAGAGACAAAGTTCACCATTCAATTACGTTTATAATCAACGCAGTTTTACTCAAGAAACAACAATTTTCATAGTCTTTTTAAGTCCGTGTTCCAACTGTAAGGAAGTGACAGTTTATTAGGGTTACTTCTTTTTTCCTCTATTGAAGAATTAACGGTTGTCCAACCTCGATGATTGGATGATGGCTCGCGAGGCGTCCCTCTCGCAGTAGGGTTCAAAACCTCTCGCCTCAGCATCCCATTTGTTCACAATTATTAACTGATTGAGCAATTCTGATACATTATCTGTTCTTCATGTTGAATTATCTTCTCCTTACTGTTTAGGTTCAAATCATAGTAATTATTGTTAGTATTTGAGCGGTATCTTATACTGTCATAAAACATTACAGCAGTAGTTGTCCCAACTGAAAGTTATTCTGATATTTCAAGATATCCAGTTGTGGCGATTGATAGAGAATTTGGTCCTTTTGGATAGATTATTGCTTTGTTTCGGGTGTTTTTTCTCCTACTTTGCAGCTATTTGTGGAGTCATCTTATGTTTTTAATTATTTATACCTTGTTTGTCCACGTGCAGGCTGCCATAGTGAATTCCCAGACTCTTGAAGAGGTTGCTAGACTTGAAAAGGTTATTTGCTCAATCTCAGAAACTACTTTGCGATTTTGTCGATGTCTAATCTCTAAATTTTTACATTAACATTCTACTTGTTTTGCATGAGCAGGCACTGAAGTCGGGTCAGCTTCCTGCAGATTTTGAAATTTTTGATGATGATGCTGAGCCCAATAGTGTTCAAGAAAAGGATGATAAAATGGACACTAATAATGAAAATGAGGCTAGTACTGAACCAAAAGATGTGGAGGAGCAGAAGAACGATGAAGCTGAACCTATGGAACAGGTATCACTGCTCTTCCTGTAGTTTTAAAGTATTTCCTCTTATTTTTGTTCTTCGTCTCTTTGAACTGTTGTAGAGAGGTCTTGTTTTCTCTGGGTAAGAAGATGCATACAACTTTGATGACCTCAAGACTTATCTTATAAATCAAGATAGTGGTGTTATTGTTTTCAATATTGCAATGTACAAACAGGACTATTTACAAACAGGAGGGACCGTGTTGGCTTATAATCTTGTCATAATGTAAAAGCATAGGGAATTCACATAAGGAAATAGGATGAGTTCGGTTCAGCCTCTGTGTGTTTATTTCTTCATCAATCAAATTCATTTCACCTTAAACAAACTATTGTAGCTCCCATCAGCTCGGCAGGCTTAGGTTGTGATGGGTTTTGGTTTCTTCACATTAATGGCTTTGCACAGATTCATACAGAATTAGGATCTATTGCTTCAGTTATCTTAGTCCTCATCATGCTTAATACATGCTGTTCAAGATTCTGGACAGTTATTATTGTTTAGTTGTACCGGGGGAGAATCCTAGGTTAAAGCTGAAAAATTAGTTGGTGGATTTCATGTATTGTGTGTCTAATTTGAGGCTATTATTAGTTCCTTTTTCCTCAGGGCTGAGCCTATTTTTAAGCTGCTCTTCCTTTTTCCCTTTGCTTCTCATATTCCTGTCTAGGCATTATTTAGTTTCTATAGGAACTGGAAGATCCCGTGACCCTATAGAAGGCATTCATAATGTCATAAAACATATGCAGCCCTAGATTTTAGTTTCTATATTGTCTTATGAATGTTAGTTATGTGGCCTAGCCACTGGACAAGTTAATTGAAGATCAGCTGCTATGTCGTCAATAGTGTTTATATGGAGGATATGTTAACGTTCAGTACTATTTATAAGATACTGTGATCCCATCACCTAGAAATTTAGGATATTGCAGGATGAGTAGGTAACTGGGAACAAGTCCAACGGTTGCATTGAGATTTGAATTGGAAAGCTTTTGAGTCACTGTACTTTTCTTTTTTGGATTGTCCAGAGTCAAATTCCCTTACCTTGTTGACCCTATCAGCTCTAGATCCACTTGGGAAGAATCAATGTTTTAGCAAGGTTGATATGTTAGATTGTGTAATTGCTGAGCCATTTTGAGAAGGATATTTGTTATAAATTAGTCCGGGATTAGCATGTGTTATGATTCTGTGGTCTGTTTGTAGGTAGGTTAACTTAGTTGATATTCTCTGGTTCTAGAGTATTAACGTACTTCTTCCCCTTGCAGGAGTAGGAGACTCCGTATGTATCCTGGCATCGTAAAGCTTGTCCCATTCGAACCCCCTTTGGCCGGCGCCTGGAAAAGTTATTGATTCGGAAATATTCTGCTGTTCCTTGAATTATGTTCAATATATGAGGGGTTTCTGCCTGTGTTATATTAGACCTGAAAACAACTTTTTTTGCCTAATTAATTAATGCTAATCTTTCCCCTTCTAACATTTCTTTTGGGAGAGCTGGAATAGCGTCTGGGTGTTCGATTCATATCTGTATTAAGTTGATACAAAATTCTGTCTAATTTCATATATTCGTGTTCTTCGAGTTATAAAAGAACGAGAGCCATAACCACTGCACAATTTTTTCTTGCTGGTGTTACGTTTAGGCTTCCAACTTTACTTGGACCGATGTTACAGTTAACTACTGATGTTTAACTTTTAATCGGTTTTGCAAAATACTGCAAAACTATCTAGACCTATTTTCATGCCGTTTTCTTGCACTATAAGGTCTAAATTAAACGATGACATTCTTGAGATTGAGCCGTGTGAGATGTAAGTCTCATGCACAGGTTTGAATGAGAGATAAAAGTGGAATCCTCTTTTCAACTGACTCTTCCACTCCAGTTACCTCCTTGATGGATGTACGTTTTGACTTATTGGCCTTGCTACTATTTCTTAGGGCTTTTGGCTGAAATGATCAACTTTTAGCATTTGCTTGCTGAAATGATTCGTTTTTAGCATGTCGATCGTTGAGTCGTTAATATTTGATTGATATGTCGTCGATATTTGATTGATATCATTTCAACAACCAAATGTCAAAAACTGATCATTTTAGCTAATTGCCCAATAAAGAGGGCCCGGGCTTTCAAAATTGAAATAGTCCTTGACTGACTTTACATCTGTAATAGTAATGAGTTGTTTCTTGGACAAGCTGCTTTGGAAGGAAAAAGAGTGAAAGTGGAAAATTCTTTGCTCCAATACAGGGGAAATCCTGTCTGTCCATCTTCTTCTTGCCTTTGGGAAGACAAGATACGCAAACCAAAGCTGCCAAACAGAAGACATTTGTATGTAGCGTCATTCAACAACTACTATGATATCCCAATTGGCGCTGGCAGCAGTCTCTGTTGTTTTTGGAGCACTGGTGCCACTTTTTATGGCCTTAATTGTTATCAAGGGATGGTCTTGGTCTTGGCATTGGTCATGGTCCTGGCGGATTTCGTGGCAACCAAGAATTGTGTATTGCTTACGCGGCCACGAATATGGAGCTACATCCTCCGAGTATGCAAGCCACCGTCCTAGGCTCACAGCCACCTCCGGTGGCCAGTCTTGTAGTCAGCCTCTTGATCATGAACAAGAATGCTGCAAATTGGATGAGGATGATCTGAAAGTATTGGTTTCCCACATAAACGAGACCAACGGATGTCCACCGTGGAAGCTCATGATGGAGCATTCTACCCCTTCTCTGACATACCAAGCTTGGTACAGGGACCCGCGGGTAATTTACACAACCAAGCTTGTTTATTAGTACTTTTAAAATGACCAAAAGGCTTTTGGATTATACTTGGTTATTTCAATTGTATTACGTTTTCAACAAGCAGCACTTATGAGCAGAACTACTCCTTACAGAAGCGTCCTCTTACGGTGTAGTGACATTGTTATCAAATTTCAGTTAGGTCCTACGCAGTACCGTACGAGAACAGTGTTTGAAAACGCATCGCCTGAGTTGCTGAAAGACTTCTTCTGGGATGATGAGTTCAGATCCAGCTGGGATAACATGTTGAAATTCTTCCAGATTTTGAGTGTTTGCTCCCAAACTGGTACCATGACTGTTCACTGGATAAGAAAGGTAACATATATGGTTTCTTACAGCTGCTACAATTATTTGTTTGTGTCTTTTCCTTCCTAACTATAATCTGTTGAAAAGTAAATTGCTTACTAATTTCAAGTTAGTAAATGATTTACTTATCTATTTTATCTTTGTTCTATTGAGTAGCTGTTTTATGTTGTGATAACTTGTGCTCATATGCCAAGTTTATGATCTTAGATCAGGTATCTTTTCAATGGCTCATATGCTCTGTTCTGCCATGTGTCAAAATCACATTGGCTCATGTAATTGAACGGTTATGATGGCTGATGTAAAAGGAAGGAATGAATATGAATGAAATGTTGCTCTCTGTTGTGTTGTAGAGTTGCAGTTGTGAAAACTTTGTCTCTCACTCTCTCTGTCTTTTCAGCTTCCTCTAAAATCCAATTCACATATATATCAGATTTCTAAGAAAACTTAACATGGTATCTAGAGCTCAGGTTCTATCTGGAATCGGGGCGTAAGATCTGTGAGTGCTGTGCTCGGAAATCCAACGTGAAATTTCCGACTCAGTTTGTCGATTCAAGTCTCAAATGGCTGGATCTGGTGGTAGTGATCTTCGGGCTCCAATATTCAATGGTGACAACTATGAATTTTGGAAGATCCGAATGAGAATTATTTTCAAATCACATGGAATCTGGGATTTAGTTGAAAAGGGGTTTGAAATTTCAGAATCGAAGGATAAGAAGATTGGAGATGAAGGCTCATCGGAGTCGGAGAGAGTTTCTCTGAGCGACAAGCTAATGAAGGATGCTAAGGCACTGGGTATAATCCAAGGAGCTGTCTCGGATGACATCTTTCCCAGAATCTCAAACGAAGAAACCTCAAAGGGTGCTTGGGACATACTACATCAGGAATTTCATGGTGATAAGCAAGTGAGATCCATCAAGTTGCAGGGTCTACGCCGTGATTTCGAGTACACAAGGATGAGGGATGATGAAACTCTGTCTGTATCTCACTCGTCTTCTCGAGTTGGTAAATCAGATGAAGGGTTATGGGGAAGATTTACCCAGAGAACGATTAGTTCAGAAATTACTCATAAGCTTAACTAAGGAATTTGATCCTGTTTGTTATGTAATTGAACAAACTAAGGATATTGAAACTATAGAGGTACAAGAGGTGATTGCAGCTTTGAGAGGGTTTGCACAACGCCTTGATAGGCATGCTGAAAGTACCATTGAAAGAGCTTTCAGTACTCTGAATCTGAATTCGAAAGGAACCTAACCAAATCTCTCGTTTGGTAATTCTAAACCAAAGAAGGATTGGAAATCAAAGGGAAAGAAATGGGATCCTAAACCTCAGAATCTTGCTAATCGAGGTGGCAAATATGATCAAGGAGGAAAATCTGATCAGTCTAAGGGAAAATGCAAGCATTGTGATAAACTGCACTATGGTGAGTGCTGGTTTAAAGGGAAGCCGAAATGTCATGGATGCAATCGTTTCGGTCATTTCATCAAGGATTGTGATCAACCAAACAAGTCTGGAAAACTTGTAAACTATGCGAATCAGGTAACAGAATCTGCAACCATGTTTTATGCCTGCCATTCTGCTACTATTGGAAGAAGTATGAATATATGGTATGTAGATAGTGCATGTAGCAATCATATGACCTCTCATGAATCCTTGCTCATTGATGTTGATAAGAATGTGAGGTGTAGAGTTAAAGTGGGCACTGGAGATTTAGTGCAGTCAATAGGCAAAGACACATTGGTGATTGAGATGAAAGGTGTGACTAGGTATATTAAAGAAGTTATGATTGTACCTGGTTTGGATGAAAACTTATTGAGTGTAGGGCAGATGGTAGAACATGGATATTGGCTTGTGTTTGGTGATTACATGGTTGATATTTATGGAGATAGGCAGATGGAAGATCTAATTGCAAGTGTTCCCATGAAAAGAAACAGATGCTTTCCATTAAGTTTGGAATATGTTAATCCTCATATGGCTAATAGAGCAACTGTTGAAGAATCAGCTCAGTTGTGGCATAGAAGATATGGACATCTAAACTACTCTAGTTTGATGCTTCTACAAGAGAAGGAAATGGTGCAGGGCCTACCTAGACTACAAGTCTCTGAGCATGTTTGCTCTGGATGTGCTACAAGGAAGGGTCACAGGGAATCATTTGACAAGGGAAAAGTTTGGAGGGCATCACAACCTCTAGAACTTATTCATTCTGATATATGCGGCCCAATGCAGATAACTACTCTAGGAGGCAACAAATTCTTTCTCACATTTATTGATGACCACACTAGGATGTGTTGGATATTTTTCTTGCAACACAAGTCTCAAGTCTTCAACATTTTCAAAAGGTTTAAATCCATGGTTGAGCTGCAGAGTGGTTATCAAATCAAGAAACTCAGAAGTGATAGGGGTGGAGAATATACCTCTCTAGAGTTTTCAAAGTTCTGTGAAGATATGGGATTAGAAAGGCAATTGACTGTTGCCTACTCTCCGCAACAAAATGGTGTTGCAGAGAGAAAGAATAGGACAATAATTGAAATGGCAAGAACTATGATGATTGAAAAGAAGATTCCCTTTAAGTTTTGGGCTGAAGCTGTCAACACAGCTGTGTATCTGCAAAACCGATGTCCAACAAGTGCTCTGAACAACATAACTCCATTTGAGGCATTTAGTGGGAGGAAGCCGGGTGTCAAACATTTGAAGATATTTGGTTCCATGTGTTATATACACATTCCTTCACAGAAAAGACACAAACTGGAGCAAACTGGTGAGAAGGGAGTATTTGTTGGATATGGAAACTGTGAAAAAGGATATAGAATCTTCAACTTGAGAACTCAAAAGATTGAACTATCAAGAAGTGTAATCTTCGATGAGAAAGTAATATGGAACTGGGAAACAAATGAATCAGTTCAAGTTCCTAGTCCTTGGAATGATGAAATAAGTCCAAGGATATCTGAGTGTGATCCAGATTCAAGTGATTCACCTCAGTCAATGCAGTCTCCTCTGAGATCACAATCAACTGGAGACCTGCAAGCATCTCAAGAACCTGGTTCACTTGATTCTCCAGTTCCAATCTCTGAAAGTTATGATCATACTCCACAGAAATGGAAGAGTTTGAGTGAAGTATATGCTCAATGCAACATGAGCATCATTGAACCTGAAGATTTCAGTGAGGCAGTCAAAGATGATGCTTGGAAAAAGGCTATGACAGAAGAAATATTGATGATTGAAAAGAATTCCACATGGGAATTAGTTGATAGACCTAGTAGTAAACCTGTTGTGGGTGTGAAGTGGATATACAAAACAAAGTTGAATCTTGATGGCTCCATTCAAAAACACAAGGCAAGACTTGTAGCCAAAGGTTACACACAGAAACCAGGGATTGATTTTAATGAAACCTTTGCTCCAGTGGCAAGGTTAGATACTATTAGAACACTCATTGCACTAGCTGCACAGAAAGGTTGGAAACTGTGGCAATTAGATGTTAAATTAGCCTTCCTGAATGGTGTTCTTGAGGAGGAGGTATATGTTGATCAACCTGATGGTTTTGTGATTAAAGGGGCAGAAGACAAGGTTTATAGACTGAGAAAGGCTCTCTATGGTCTAAAACAGGCACCAAGGGCCTGGTACAGTGAAATTGATACATATTTAATTCACTGTGGATTTCACAAAAGCTCAAGTGAAGCAACTTTATATGTGAGAAGCAAGGAAGGTGTTGGCATCTTGATCGTGTCAATCTATGTTGATGACATTGTGTACATAGGGAGCAATGCAGAAATGGTGGAAGAATTCAAAGCTGAAATGATGTGCAAATATGAGATGTCAGATTTGGGTTTACTTCATCACTTCCTTGGAATGGGGGTAACTCAAACTGAAGGGAGTATATTTATACATCAGAAAAAATATGCTCTAACACTTTTGGATAAATTTGGGCTCAAAGATTGCAAACCAGTGAGCACTCCATTGGTTGCAACTGATAAATTGAGAAGAGAAGATGGAAGTGAACATGCAGATGAGTGTGAATATAGGAAAATAGTTGGAAGTCTTCTGTATTTAACAGCAACTAGACCAGATATTATGTTCTCTGCTAGTGTACTTGCACGATTTATGCACAAGCCTACCAAGAAACATTATGGAGCTGCTAAACGAGTCCTAAGGTACATTCAAGGAACAATTGACTTTGGAATTGAATATTTGAATGGAAAATCTGTCTTGCTGATTGGATATTGCGATAGTGACTGGAGTGGATCTGAGGAGGATATGAAAAGCACCTCAGGGTATGCTTTTTCATTTGGAAGTGGGGCATTCTCATGGGCTTCAGTCAAGCAGCACAGTGTAGCTCTTTCAACTGCAGAAGCAGAGTATGTTAGTGCAGCTGAAGCAACATCTCAGGCCATTTGGCTTAGGTTTGTGCTCAAGGACTTTGGAGAAGAGCAAGCTGCAGCAACATCACTATTCTGTGATAACACTTCAGCTATAGCTATGTCCAAGAATCCTGTGTTTCATCAAAGAACCAAGCACATTGGCAGGAAGTTTCACTTTATTCGAGATGCAATTCAAGAAGGTACCATTGATCTGATTTACTGCAAGAGTGAAGAGCAAATTGCAGACATCTTTACCAAGGCTCTTCCCAAAGACAGATTCAACAACTTGAGAAGTTTACTGGGTGTGAAATCAGTTAACAATTTAGAAGGGAGTGTTGAAAAGTAAATTGCTTACTAATTTCAAGTTAGTAAATGATTTACTTATCTATTTTATCTTTGTTCTATTGAGTAGCTGTTTTATGTTGTGATAACTTGTGCTCATATGCCAAGTTTATGATCTTAGATCAGGTATCTTTTCAATGGCTCATATGCTCTGTTCTGCCATGTGTCAAAATCACATTGGCTCATGTAATTGAACGGTTATGATGGCTGATGTAAAAGGAAGGAATGAATATGAATGAAATGTTGCTCTCTGTTGTGTTGTAGAGTTGCAGTTGTGAAAACTTTGTCTCTCACTCTCTCTGTCTTTTCAGCTTCCTCTAAAATCCAATTCACATATATATCAGATTTCTAAGAAAACTTAACATAATCTCAATTGAACATTCTTTTCTGTAACATCCACAGTTGCCCCTCCTCTGCAGTGATAGAGAATACGTTATAGTCCGTCGTATTTGGGAATCTCCGTCTGGATATTATTGTACAACAAAGGTACCGTCCTTACCCCGCATCATGTTATAACACTCGTATATGTTTACTGATACCAGACACGAAGCTAGTACATCGTAACTCCTAAAAATTTCCATCTATTAGTTCTTTGTCAAAATATATTCTGCGTTATCATCAGTGATGTCTCACTCATCATGTGTTATTCACGTATACACGTACGCCCGGTGAAATCCAAGATGTTTCCTTCTGTGAGATGCATGAATTCCAATAGACTGCCATCTTTCTGTTTATTTTCTGATATATCAGGGGACACCATATCCATCCTTACCAACGTCTAAAACAGCAATAAGGGTAGATAATTACTATTCCAGTTGGCGTATAAGCTCAGGTACGTGTATAAGTTTTGGTACAGTTTTGTTCATAGTTTCTCCGCTGGTGGAAGAAGTGCTTTTGACAGATACCAAACAACTACCTAGCAGTGAACGGTAGGAATGCAGAAGAGCAGCAAATGGCATCAGAAGTGCTTTTGTTTCACCATGAAGATATAGGGCTTCCAAGGGAGATTGTGAAGATAGGTGTTAGGGCAAGAATGTGGGCCATGGTCAAGAGATTGCATGCAGGAGTGCAGATGTACAGCGTCGCAAGGGCAAACGGGTCTACTTCCAGTTGTGCAGTCATGGTAAATGTAACCACAAAGGTTTCACCATCCACAGTAGAACTTCCCAGTTCACAAGTTACTGCAGATGAGATATGCCAGAGGGAAACGGAAACCCACTCATCTGACCATTTATCCAAGGATAAATGGTAAGAGAGTCCTAATTGTTTGATTGGAAAAAATCATACCTCTAGTGGAAAATTTATGTAAGTAAAGGCACCTCGCAAAACATTTTTTCATTAAAAAACTCTTAAACAACTTTCTTTATCATTAAAGGTGCATTTTCTATTAAGGACACTTTCTTTATTATTAAGGATATTTTCTTTAGACTATCTTCAACCTAAAACCCAAAATTTTTAGACTATAAAATTTATATTTTAACCCAGAAACAATTTTTCGCCTAAAATTTTAGCCCAAGATTATTAAAGAATGAATTTAAACTAATTTATTTTCTTAAAGTAAATTTTTTAAAATAAAAAATTATGTAGACTACCCTAATTAATTTTATGAACATTTTAATCAAAAGCGAACTTCCCGAAAGGGAAGTGCTTATGCATGGGAAGGTGCGAAGAACCCGGTTTCGGTCCTCGTACCGCCACCTTCCATCGCAATTGCCCCGCTAGTAATGGTTCCTCAGCGTCTGATTTCGTTCAGGAAGCTCTTTGGGTGACGGCAATTGCGAGAGAAATCTGAACGAGACCTTTTGTCTTTGTGTTTTTCGATTTAAAAAAAAATTATGAGACCTTTTATTATCGAAGCATTTTGAAAAGCAAACAAGGTTAACACGTGAAAATAAAACCAAATTGACATAAAAAATTTCAATTGTTGAAAAAATTTCACGCTATATTAAGGTCGTTGATATTTGATTTCAGGTAATTGATAAAAAAACTTATACAGGCAATTGATCAAAAACTTATAACCCATCTATGCTAGCTCGAACACGTTCGAACAATAATTGCTGACGTCGAAATTATTGCTTGGGTAGAAGAGGGCAACCCAACTATCTGATTGATTAAGCAAAGTTTGTCAAAAATGGTTGTCTCATCCACTTAAGAAAACGGATGTGCTATCTACACATATTTTTTTAGGGATGTGATATCCACACACCATTTTTTACTTCTCTCACACCCTTTTAATTTTCGGCCGTTGGATCGGATGAATTAAAGAAGATCAAATGACAGAAATTAACAATGGGTGTGGGAAAAGTAAAAAGGGGTGTATGGATAGCACATCCCATTTTTTATGTCTTATACATTCTTGTTAATTTATATCTGTTGATCTTCTGCAATTCTTCTGACCTGACGGTCAAAAATTAAAAGAATGTAAAAAGTAAAAAAGGGCGTAATACACCCCTAGTAAAATGTTGGTTTTCCAGATCTTACACAGAAAGTCAAACAAAAAAAAAAGAAGGTAAAAGTGAAGGGGGCAGCTCCCTCAGAACGTAAAAACTTATCAACACAGAATCGATTCAGACAAGGCTGAAACTTTTATATATAAATGGAGTTCAATCATCGGGACCTGCTGCTGCTGCTTCACATCACATCAAATCAAAAGCATCACGTTTTTTTAACTCAAATTTATTAACATATACATTCTTTGATTAATGACTTAATCAACGTTTGAGAAAGCAATTAAAAAAAAGAAAAACTAATGAAAATGATTTGAAAACTTTGAGTTTTAATGAAAATGACAAAATAAAGAGTAAAGTGAATAGTACCAGGTTTGACTTTTTAGTATAAAAATATGATTTTTCGTTAAAGTGAACAGTACCGTGGGCTTTTCGTTAAAACACTCTTAAAAACAAACACACACACACAAGGAATCGCGATATTTTCAAGTTCGAACACACCACGCAAATGCGAATAAGAATAAGTAATTAGCAGAGAGAAAGAATGGCTGAAAAGCAAAGCAGGATATCAATCAACAAACAGAGAAACGATTCTGCAGAATTTTGTGGCCTTGGCTTTGACGGCGGCCGCGGGATGCGCATTCCAATTTCCACCGAATGAATACGAAGGCCGCCTTTTTATAGACACACCGCGACTCGATTGCTAGACCTAATTGTCACCTGCAACCTCGGCACGGGAGGGCCAGCTTTTGTGGGCCGTGCTTCGCTCTGTTGGATGTTTTGGGTTATTTTTTGTTGTTGGGCCGTATTCGGCCTTTCTCTTTTGTTCTAGTTTAATGTATTTTTTGAAAGATAATTATTACTCATCTTTTAAAAAGAATGATCATCAATCACGAACTGGTGGTCCAGTGGTAAATGGTGGCTTATAAGGCTTCTTTAAAACTAAAAACTGGAAGTCTCAGGTTCGAAATCCGATGCTAGTGTGGAAGTTAAACTTGTGGTCAATGGAAGGCTGAAATGACTCTGTGAGTACTTCTTAGCAAAATGGTCGATAATCGTAATTTACCACAAATTATCCATCTTTTAAAAATAAAAAAATGATAATCACGTCTTTTATTTGGTCCCGCACTTCTATATTTAATCATATGCTTTGCTTTTTTTTAACTTATTTAATTTGATGTCAAATAATACAAAAAAGCTTATAAGATGAGAGAAATGGCCTGTATCATTTTGAATCCAAAAATGTTATCATGCATTTTTTTCTTCTCAAGTTTTTACACTCATTAGTGTAAAGTGATTTTTTACGAGTGCAAAAGGCATATCCCATTGTGAATTTCAAAAAGAAAAAAGAAATCACACGTCATATTTATTTTTCAATTAATTCTCATGTGCCTTAGAAACAAATAAACGTGCATGAGAACCAAAAATGAGTGCAAAGATCTTTTCCCTATATTCTAATCATATCACATGTTTTCAAAATGAGTACTAGTTAGGCATGAACTTGTTTACATCAATTTTCGAAGAGTTGTGCCATTGTTTTAAAATTCTTGACTATTTAGTTAAAATAGTCAATTATTTTGATCTTTGATGTTAAAATTGATAGACGTAGTCCCTGAGTAAATCATCTTGATCTTTCCTTATAAAAATTATAAATATTCTTGCTAAGTTGTTGCGAAAAGGGAATGACTACCTGAGCACCGTTTTAAAAGATTCTTGTCAAATCAATACCTCAACTTATCGAGAGTATGGACATATTTAGTTCTATGAATGATCAAAATAATTTATAATAAACAAAAGACCATTTCTATCAAATTTTCATTGTCGCGAACCTAAGTGAAATGCTATTATATATCAAGAACCATTTTTTGCTAAAAATCCCAGATTCTTCATATAATGTTTCATAAAAGAACTTTGTTTCAATTTTAGTTGGCATTTTTAATTAGGAGGTCAAAAAAGCAGCTTAAAAGGGAGGATAGAAGAAAACCATTTTCATATAAGAAAACTAGAACTTGATAGTAGACCGGTAAACAGAGCAACGAATCACGTTCATTGATCTTGCAACATTGTGCCGTTCTTTGCCAGATCTACGAATTTAACGACAAATCCACATATCGCACGTCGAGCACCAAATGGATTCAAAAGCACCAAATAAGGAGGATATTAAGCCAGAAGAAGCATAGATTTACTTCTTCGGAGTCATCACACGCACATAAGAGAAAGATAACTACTAGTTCAAACATAGATTATTCAGCCCGGCTTCATCTCAAAGACGAGCCGCCGCGACGACGCTAGGAAATTGTCCCCAAGACAGTAACGGCTTAAGTCACCAGTACACCACCAAATACAACAACTTAACCGAAAGCACTACCCCAAGGACCACATTCCAGCATCATAAAGGGGTTCTTGATGCACGGGTGCATATGTTCGGAAGGTCTTGATCCACAGGGAGCAGCAGCTCTCGGCATTGTGTCCTCGTTCCAGATGATCGGTTTTCCTTGCCTCTTCTGCGATCCAGATGAAATCACCAGATCAAGGTTTTTGAGATCAGATAACAATGTAATGTCCTTCAAGAAATAAAAACATGATAAAGGGACCGATCGTTGTTAAAGAGAATGATATTATAAATATTAAAGCGAGAAGAATTGGATACCTCAATCAAGCCTGAGAATGTTTCTGAGAATACCTCAGGAGCAGCAGTAGCAGAAACCACAACTCCGAGCGCACTGGTGCAGGCATTTTGCACCCCACCTTGCGGCACCAGTTTTGGGGAAGAGTTGATTGATTGCTATTCAGAATCATCATAAACTTCTCCATCGTCAGAAAACTCATCAAACGACCTCATATCAAGCTGGTAGCGAAGAATTCCTCCAATGCCACCAAAACCACGGCAGAACTGTGACCCCTCCTGCGACTTGTTGGTGACAAACTCAAGACTACAACCAAACCGCCTGTACTCATTAGCAAACCACTCCAGCAGTGACGTCTTGTCCTGAACCTCTAGCTCCGCATTGTTAGCATCCCGGAAGTTGCTCTGATTGTTCTCCTGCTCCTTGTTGAAATGCTTCACTATAATCTCACCAGTAGTCGTATTTTTCAGCACATACCGATTGATGTCCAGACTTTCCCACACAATAAGAATCTCGACAGCACCCATCTCTAGGGCTTTTAGTGTGTCCTCAACACCAAAAACATACTTTCCTGTATCCTGGCTAATCTCCTCAAAGTATTTTCCAATCAACTTCTTCTCCTGAATGAATTTCACATTGGACAGGATCTCTGCTGACAGCTCAATAGCCTGGTTGAAACCGTTCTCTCCTCCATAAGAAACATCCACCACGTTCAGTATTTTGGCCTGCAGACGAGGATCAAACATATCTGACTGACTAAGCTCGGTTTTGAAGTCAGCTGATCCAGCCAGTATTAATCCTGAAACATTGGGCTGACTGGTGGCAGGATTAATAAAAAACTGTGTGGCAAGCTCTGCTGTCTTTCTAACATAGTTGTGGCGCTTCTCCATTCGCAGACGAGCAAAACGTAGAGCTGACTGCCCTCCTCTTCCGTGCTTCTTTGGAAGGTCGACACTAAATTTATGAAGCACCTCCCTAGTGTTTCCGCTTAGTGTCCCAAAAAGTGTCCCATTTCCGTCCATGACAATGAAACCAAACTTGTCATCAGATTCTAAGAGTTCATTCAGAGCTTCAATATGAAACTTGTTGTCACAGAGGTAAAGAGATGCGTTGATTGGCCTGAAAGGCTCAAAATCAATGGTGACCTTTTTTTCCTTCCCATCGTCAGTAACAATGGTCCCTGTGTACAGCACAAGCCCATTCGGAGGAACTTTGTTGTAAAGCTTGAGCCTCTGCTGAGCGGATGTAATAGCCCCAAGAACAGACTGTCGATTCACCCTGCTCTTAATGTTTG